ACCAAAGTAGCCGCAATGGGTTTTGGGCATATCTGAAGGAACATTTGTTGGGGATTTGGGGTTAAGTATAGACCGAGTAATTTGGCTCATTTTCCTATCGGGACAATTTGGGCCCAAAAGCATTATTGGACCAATGATATTAAACTCCATTGATTTAGGCTATTCAACAGTCAGTCCAATGCTCGTTAAAGCTTGGTATGGGGAATTCTTCCATGTGTGTGTCATGTCATTATGAATTTATCACACAAAATGTTGGAGACACTTTTTAAGGCCCTCAATTGATAAGCTGTACACTCAAAGCTTAGATTTGAGAAATCTCACAAAATTCATACTCCAAGGGTATAGTCCCAACTACATATTTGAGAAGCAAAGGCATACTGGAACAAAATGAGGTGTGAAACAAGGCATTTACATTACGCAGTACAAATAGAATTACACTGCCCGGAAACTGCTGAATCCAATAATGGTGATGGAAGCACAAATTTTCTACAATATATGGGTGCATTGATGCACTGTTAAAATCAGAGTGACAGAGTTTGGTCAACTATGGAAGCATACCCATAGTCAAACCATCATCAACTATCAAACTCAGAGCACGAGACCAACTGGTCAACTATCTTTTCTCCTTTTAAAAGCTGGATGTATGATTCCATTACAAGAGTCTAGCTTTTCCATCCTGGAGATACACTCCCTCAACCTCTTAAGAACAAGCGGCATAGCAGCAATGTTGGCAGAAATTTTATCTTTAAGCAAAATTATCTTCTCAGAATTCTTTTGCTCCCCATCTGCTTTTGAACCGTCTCGGATAGATTCAACCTGTCTCGAATCTTTAAAGATAAAATGTTGGTTAGTACCCCTACTTAAAGGCCATTACTTTCAATTAAAGAGATAGGAACTTCGAAAATGGTAGTTATATAAACAGGGAGAGCAATAAAAAATTTCTGCCATCAGGAAAATGTTTTAGATTAGTATAAATTCACTTCACTTTCTCTTCATGTGAAGACCAACATCACTTCCACAGTAGACATCACAACAGAACTGCTGAAACCATCTGAAGTTCTATCACAATTGCATTCATCTCCTTCTTAAGAGAGAGAAAAACAAAGTGAAATCGACACAAACACAAAAAACAAAAGAAAGAAAAGGTATAAATGGAGTGCATCTTTTGAAGTAAAGATGGTATCTTTAATTCCCTCTCCTAATATTTCTTATGGTAATCCACTTCAAATAACCAATCCACAATCAAACAAGTATTCATCATATCTTCCCCCATATGCATCAAACATCAAATCCCCACCTCAATTGTGGTTAATTGAAGCATCAAATTCTGACCCAGGAAAGCAATATGCATAACATCAACCAAAAAATTTACTTTCCAGTATAATTAGCAAACTAGCCAAATAAATTCAAGAACGAATACTAAAATATTTTTCCTTTAATCAATCAAACAGATTATAGAACTCGGAATCTGACAACCCCAATTTCAAAAACGGCTCAAACTCAGTAAACCCTAAAGATAGCGGACGGACCTGAGTTGCAGCGCTCATCCGATGGTCCAGGGTCCGAATCCAACTCGGTGCCAGGCAAAATGGGTCTTTGACTGGAGAGCACCGTAACCAGAGTGGCCTTGAGCTGATCGGGAAGCGTCGTTCTGTATTCTAGAATCTTCTGGGCCATCTTATGAAGATCAGATTCCAGCTTCTCCAAGTCATCTTCCAATTCCGGTTGGGGTTCTGAGCCTGAGATTCGAATGTCAACATGCGCGTCGCGGGTACTAGGTCCGTTGCTCAAGGCCATGGTTTTTCCGACGAGACAATTCCAGATCGTGAGGGGGGTTAGATGGTTTTCCTTTGGGGCTCCGGCCTTCCAATTTTTCACGTTAGGTTTCCGAATTTTGAATTTTTGTCTCCGCATCCATAAACGACGGCGTTGCATGTAACATACGGGCCTCAAACAAGCCCATTCCCGTCATGTACCACAGGCCCGTAAAGCTTAATCATGTTTTATAATCAAATTTCCCGCGAAAAAGAGATTAACAGTCAACCGTATGCAAATTAATTCATATACCGAATAAAAAAAACTTAATTATATAAAATATTTCATTATGGAACAGTGTTTCTAGCATGGGTTGAACTTTTTTCTTTTTTCTTTTTTTTTTGTGTATTTTTAATATTAAAATTATCAAACATTATTAATGGAAAAACACGAATGGAGTTTTATTAAAAGTATTTTATTAAAAAATAATTTTATGATAATTTTTTATTATTTTTTGATATAATTTTTTTATGTGAAATTTATAATATTAAATATATTTGTAATTAAAAATTATATAAAAAGATTATATTGTATCACCCTGTTTAACACTTGTTTGGTACAACTTATTAGAGTTTTTATTTTTTTATTATTTATAAGTGATAAATTTAAATTTTTATTGAAAAAAAAATTTAAAAGTTATTTTTAAATATAAAAAATAAATCAATAAAAAGTTGATGAAAAACTTAAATTTAGAACTTAAAATTTTTTATTGTTTATGATCTTTTAAAATTAAAAAATATTTAAAAATATAAATTTTTATAAAAAAATTTAAATTTATGAAATATAAATAATATTAACTACAAACCGTACCGTTAATAAAATATTTTCCACTTTTCAATGCTATGAGGATTGCCCCATTGTTTCTGCAATTTCTGAGACTTTAGCTTCAGAATCCCTTCCTTCGCTGACAATAGAAGATTGCAAGTCACGTCTTCCCGTTCACAGGTAAATGTAATTTTTTTTTTTCTTTTGCTGGGAATGATCTGAATTCTGGGTTTGGTCTTGAAATTTTCCTTCTTTTTTTTTAATGGAGGAAGCTGTCACGCATGGTTGAGTCAGAAAATCCATGTAGGCTGCTTTATTGTTCCAGCAAGTGTGATAAAGTTGGAGTAATACAGCCTATACAGGAGTTAAAGAAAGGGGTGGAACCCAGTCTGGCTGACTATGATAGGAGGACAGCTCTTCATTTAGCAGCCTGTGAAGACTGCACTGAAGTTTTTCTTCTACGTTTGGAGAAAGGAGCTGATGTCAATTCCCTTGATCGTTGGGGTCGCACTGTTAAGTTCATGTTTTGTCTATAGTTTCAATGTTATGTATTTTAGTCTTTTTTCCTATAAATTGATCATAATCATGCAGCCATCGTCGGATGCACGTAGCTTTGGCCATGAGGAGATTTGCAAGATATTGGAAGCTCGAGGGGGAACGGATCCGGTGTTCATTTATTTGTTTGTGTATTATGGTTGTGACATATGACCATTAGCGCAGTTGTTTCTCTAAATTGAAATTTTATCATTTTGTTTGGGATAGGTGGAACTGGACTCCCAAACTCCTTGCTATGAAATTGATTTCAAAGGGGTAGACATGGAGACAGCAGCACTTATTGGAGAAGTAATTTTTTTTGTCTTTTTTTGGTTTTCGATTTCTTTAGACTAGTATTAACAAGAAGAGACCTCATATACCCACCTCCCCCTTTCTGCAACCCCACCCCAGCAGACGTTTTTGTTGAATTTACATATTGTCATTAACTTACCTGTAATTAAACTGTTAACCATGCCAGGGGGCTTATGATGAAATTTATTTGGTGAAGTGGCACGAGACAGAAGTAGCAGCCAAAACAATTCGTTCCTCTATTGCATGAATTCCAAGAGTGAAGTAAGTTCTATTCTATGTCTCTTGTTTCTTAACAACCTCCTGTGTCTTGCCTCCTTAGTACTTTTTCTCCCCTTCTTACTGAAGGCTTTGGATGTTTATCCACTTAGTATATATCCAGTAGAAAGTAGAATAATGTTGATGTTGATCAAGTTATTGTCATAATCAGGGAGTTTATAGACCAAAGTTGGTATTATTAGCATAGCAACTTTGCCTTGTTGTTGGTTATTTTGCAAGACTACCTTTCTGAAGGAACTCGGTTTGTGGCAAAGGCTGCACCACCCTAATATAGTGCAGTTCATAGGTGTTCTGAAACATTGTGACCGCTTGACTGAGTATCTTCGGAATGTGAGTCACACTATATTATGTTATAACTTAACAAAGTCCTAAGATATCATATTCACTGATTTTTATCTCAACATTGAATGTCTAGGGAAGTTTGTATGATATATTGAAAAGAATGGGAAGACTTGATCCACCAACAGCAGTTGCTTATGCTCTAGATATTGTGAGGTATAATATTGTGCTAGGTATACATGATACTACGCCTTAGACTTTTTCATGTAGAAATTGGAATTAAGAGTCTGAAAATGGAGCCAAGGTACCAATTGCTATTAAGTCCTACCATGGACTGATTTACTCTGTAAACCCTGCAGAGGCATGAACTATCTCCATGAACATAAACTGCATGCCAAGATTTGACTCCAAGGTAGTCATATTACCTCATTACCTGACCTTCTAATCTATGAATCACACTTCAGAGTTCCAACCTGGACATGGTTCCTAAGGTGATATGCCAATGATGGAATATTATCTCACGCCTTTATTCTGTAGGACTTGCAGGAATGTGTTACCAGATGAATCAGGTCGTCTTAAGGTTACAGATTTTGGATTGAGCAAAATTGCACAGGAAAAGGATTCACGCGGGTACAAAATGACAGGAGGAACAGGCTCATGTAAAACATAAAAATACTGTCTTAGAATTTAATGGTTCTAGAATATGAATTTGCTGCTCACAACTCATATGCTATTATGAAAATTTCCAGATCATTACATGGCACCTGAGGTTTATTGTTGAGGGTCACACGGGAAAGGCATTGATGTCTTTTCATTTGCTCTAATAGTACACGAGGTAATTTTTATCAGAACCTTAGAACTGCATATAGTTCCATGTCATATTTATGCAGTATGGTTAATGATAAACTTGGAGTAAAACTCAAATTTCTCACCTCCATTTACCAAGTATATGACTCTTGACACACACAAAATGGGGAAAAAGTTGTCAGATAAATGCATCTTTTGAAAATTCTCTGTAGTGGTCCTCGTAGCATATTTAAATGTGAATTTTGTTTTCTTGTTATCTGTGTTGTGCTTTGGATTAAATTGCAGATGTTCCAAGGACCCTCGAACTCTGCAGGAACTGCAGAACAAATTGCAAACAAAAGGGCACATGAAGATTCAAGACCTCCACTGTCCTCATATCTAATCCCACCACAAATCCAGATGTGAGTTCTCTTGGACTGCTTTCCTGATTTTCAGTTTCAGCATGTTGGTAAGCAGCAAAGACAACTATTACTTACTACAGATGATCATTTAATATTCAAAATCTTCAAAAGAAGTTAGTTGTTCGGTCAAAGTAAGAACCTTTATAGAGTTTAATCTGAAAGGCACCAAGAAACAATGCAAGATCATTCTGATGAATACCTTCTCAATATCAACACTGTCATTTGCCTTATCATCAGCAACATTTTACAATCCAACTAATTGCGCTGCATCACGTTAATTATTTTCTTTGATGTAAAAAGATGATGACTTTAACATTGTTCCATTTTCGTACTTTAGGCTTCTTCGAGAATGCTGGCATAAGAATCCAGACTGTCGTCCCACATTTGAAGAGATAATTTTACAGCTAGAGGCCATCCAAGAGAGTTTGAAACGCAACAAAGTCAGAGGAGAGTTTGGATGACTGGCAGTCATTCACCATGCTGTAATTCTATCAGGAGTCATCATTATTCAAAACTTTCACCTTTTAAGGTTCTATGGTATATACACATAACCTGCAATAGATACAGTACATACAAGAATAGTATCATTTTTTTTTTTTTTTTTTTGTATCATTTTTTTTTTTTTTTTGCTCTGAAGAACAGTATCATTTTAGTATATGCATTTGTTTGCAAGCTAGAATCCAACTATTTTTTTCTGACCTAGATGACAGGAAAATCATCGACTAGAGACATGTACATGTGGGCAGTCTCTTGCATGGTTCCCAGCCTGTTGAATTAACCATTTTCCCTTTCCTCATTTCATATCTGTAGTAGTTGGTCCAATGGAGACTAACCATCAACCTTGTACCTCCCTTAGGAGTAAGGAATTGATGCCATTTTGACTCATACACTGTTGGCAGGCCGACCATTAGACAAGTGCTCGCAAGATTGTTTCTTTCTTTTTGCATTCAGACTTGCTCTAACAGCTTTCTCTGTTGCAATCGCTTCTTTGATGTTGTTTTGAACCAGATTGCAAAGCTCATCAAGGGCTAACATTGGAAATGGTTCCTCAATAAGAACACCAACCTGCAAAAATCAATTAATGAGGTCTACGTACGTGCTGTCTGGAACATATGGAATTAATATTTGCATAAATCCATGATGAACAGAAAGCTTGAATAAGATTCGATCAAAAGAGTTGAAGTAGAAGACTATAATTGTCCTCAAAACTGTCATATATACTTCAAGAAATGATATGAAAGAAAATGGGGGACTGTTGAAGATGCAAACAGCAAAAGTAGATGTTTGAATAAAACATGAGGCTAGTAATTGATAATTAAAATAAATACCATCAATACCAAGTAACAAGGGAAGACATACGCACCTCTTCAATGCAAAACAAAAATGCAGCACTAACGAAAGTAGCAGGAACCACAATCCAGTGGCAATCATCCCAAAGTATGATAGGCAGGGTAAGATGCCAAAGGACCAGAAACCTTGATGTCAAGCGAGTATACGAGAGAGGGATGGGGGTTCCCATGAGTTGTTCACAGACACCAATTCCTTCGTAGAAACATGAAATTTTCGACTCCTGCATTACGGGGTATAATCAAAATAAATGTGTTGGGAGCACCAATCTCCATAAGTTTCAATCTTAAATTTGAAACGGACTAACAGACTAACAGAGTTCATTCTTGGACCTCACAAACTCATATTTTGCTTTTCCATGCACACACACAAAATAAAATGAAACACAGAACGCTTTGGGAGTAGGATTGAAATCTACGAGTAATTGGAGATACCAAGATGTTTTTCTTTGATTCCTCTAACTTCAGCAGTTGAAGACTTTGTGATATGAACTGAATAATGCAGCAAGGTCGATGCTTTGAACTGAGTACCACTTCAAGATCATCTAACTCAAGCAAATGCTGGAGATCTCTGCCTATATCCGAGCCATGCATTACATGACACTGCTTATAAATAACATATCCCATTAAATCATTAGAGGCACATGAAGAAGACACATCCCATTAAAATAAGTCACCTAACTGAATTCAAGTCAATTGCAATGGACACTTAAATCATTTTCATTTAGCAGAACATTCTTAAAATCTAAACCAAAAGAACACATTTTCCCCAAGTACATGTCAGAGTAGTGAAACTAACATCAAACTGCAGTTTAAGGATTAAAAAAGAAAAAAAAAACCTTAAAGTTTAACCCACCTTAAGGGCAACTGGGAAGGCCATGATATACCTCAAGAGTGAATTCTTGATCAATTCATCGCCGGAACCCTCTACACCGGCAATCACCTGCCTCGCGAAATCATTTGCGCCAGCAATCACCTTGGTCCAGGCCTTCCTACCCTCCTCAAACCTCGAATATGACGCCTCGGTCCTAAAAACCAAAAGCAGTGCCAATGCAGGTGCTGTCAACTGGTACGGCAAAGAAGATGACCTCAGAACCGGGAAAAATTCCGGCAACAACTCCACTTCTACCGCGGTGTTGTAACTCGCAATAATAACAGCCACAGACGTGAAGACTAACACAGGCGGCACCAGGGATAAGATCACCCGCGACGATAAACTAGAAAGCAAATGGCGGATGTGACGCAATGAGCTTCTATGGTCAACCCACTTTTCATGGTTGTAGAGGGAGCGGTTCCGCTGCATTCCACGCTCTTGGATGCGATCAGCCCAGTCGGGAATCGCTCGGAGGAGGGAAATTAGAGTCAGGTTTTGGGGGTTTGTTGTGTTCTGATCCGAGGTTGGTGGTGGAGAGGAAAGAGATGAGAGAGTTCTGAAACAGAGGGCTCTGGATTTGGCGGGAAGGAAGCGAATTTGGTGGAATTTAAGGAGGGGTTTGGGGGTAATGGTGGAAGAGAGTGAAAGCTTCGTGGGTTTGGCAGACTGAGCCATGAATGGAAAAGAGGGTAAAGGTTAAGGTCTGGAGGAGGAGGAAGAAGGGAGGAGAAGGGATGGACATGCTATGCTAGGGCTGTGAGAATAGAGACGGTGGTAGATAGTAAAGAAGGGAGTACCTGAGTGTGGATTGGTAGTTAGAAACGGTTGTTTGTGAAGGAGAATTTTACACATCTTCGACTAGATGTTGCTTGGATAAAAATGAGAAAAACTAGAAGCCTTATTTTGTTTTCAAATCTAGCACCAAACTTATTGTTTGTGCCAAGCAAGGCCATATATTTAGCCAATACATTCAATAGTCCTAATTTTTTATTAGAGTTATATGTTTTTGAAAAAGTGTTTTATAGTTTAAATTATATTAAATTGTAAAATATAAACCTATTGAGAAGGAGTGGACTCTCTAATATTGAAGGTCTTCCCTCAATCTAAAGGCTTTTTTTTTGCAATCCAATATAGTTTGGATTACAAAACAATATCTTCTTATGTTTTTTAGTATGGATTATATTTTTAATGAATCTACTATTTTGAAGCTTAGACTATATTAGACTACAAAATAAAAACCTTTAATTTGATGCAGTCCGCATAGTTAAACACTATCTTGATTTTCAATTGCAATTTGGATATTAAAATAAAGAAGAATCTCATTAAATTTATTTGTTCTGGAATGCACTTGACTTGAAAAGTACTTTTTTTTATAAAAAAAATTGTTTTTATTAAAGAAAGAAAGAAAAAGATAGTAGTCCCAGTTGAATAAGGACAAAGTAAAATATATTAGTGACATACTGTATTCTTCATTCAAATGGAATGGAATTACTAATTTTGATCTGAATTTGATTAGTATTAGATTACCAAAAAGGCAGTATATATACCTATCATCTGGTAGACTTTATCGGGGAAGAACGCATGCATAAAAATAAATTCCAGAGTCATTGGGTGACTCGAATGAACAGACACTAAAAGTGGAGTCAATGCAATTTAAGAAAGGCTAAACAAGTACTTAAGTGATCAACTATCTAAGAGAACTAAGGGATTTGATAAAGAAATGTGGGGTTTTTGGTTTCAAACTAGGTCTCTTATTTGAGCTGATAATGGATGAATCTGTCATAACTGTTGTAATTTTTCAGATCTTTAACCAAAGCAAGGCCAATTTCATATCTGCATCTATTTGGAATGATAGGAAGTTTTATATTGAGGATTTGAACTTAGTGAGTTTGCAGAAAGGCTTCCCATTCTGGTTGAAGTTGAGTCTTTAGAGTTGAGGTTCCACCTTCTACTACGTCCCTATTTACAAGGTACAAAGAAAAAAAAAAGCTCATAGAATCTTTTTCCTAGCTACTGGTATTAGTTAATGTGCTTGATTTAATTTTTATTATTCAAAGTTAGATCAAAAAATTATTGTTAAAATGGATCTTTATGTCGAGGGAAAACCTATCATTTTGGTTGACTTTGTCAAGGAGCATGCATAAAAATAAAATTCCAAAGTCATTGGGTGACTCAAATGAACAGATACTAAAAGTGGAGTCAATGCAATTTAAGAAAGCTGTGAAGAA